CCTACTGCCAGACCATTATGGACACCGTGGCTTTTGAGATCAACCGCTTACATTCATTGTTCATGCAAAGAAACCCAGACTTCAAAGGCAGAGTGTCCGTGGCTGGACACAGCTTGGGTGAGAATCCTTTGCTTTTACATGCTTTAACTCTAGTTCAAGGTTTATCATTTAAGACCATGAATCAAAGTAATGCTCTGTTAGACGTCTGTTAGGGCACAATGATAGTGTGAAAAAAAACACCATGTACTAGAATTGATATTGTTTTTTTACAGTTTTCTTTCAATTTATTATTTCCCCTAACCTGTAGGCTCTTTGATACTTTTTGATCTGCTGTCCAATCAGAAGACTGGCTCACCTTCAGCAGGTCCAGTGACCAATGGAAATGCTCTGCCTAATGTGAAACAGGTATCAGTACATTTTGATTGAAGATAACCATAAAATGCTCAACATATGACATGTTCTGTTTTATGGCATCCCAGGAACACACAGCCTTTATCTGTGGGTGTTTAAAGGGGTCCTATTATGCTCTTTTACAAAGTCTTGATTTTGTTTTGGGGGTATACTAGAACAGGCTCTCATACTAGGTTGTTCGAAAAAACACATTATTTTTCACATATTTTACATTATTACAACACCTCTCTCCTCAGTCTGGCATGAATGGCTCGAATAGTTCCTGTATCAAATGAAGGCCTGCCTTCTGAAATACGAAATGTGCTGTGATTGGTTAGCTGGGCCAGTGTGTGTTGTGATTGGCAGCACTCGGCGCCTGGTCGGGAAATGCCATGCCCCTTACCATAGCCGCCTGCGAGCTTCAGTGTAAATATTGCATCAATATCAAATAATTTTGAGTGCGATTTAAACCCAGATAATTGTAACCACTCTAAGTTCGTCTGCCTTGGGAAAGCTAGCGAGTCTCCGACATAGTGATAACACTCGTTGCCTTCTCTAGTGCAGCTCAACCAGGTCTTAAGTTCGTCTGCCTTGGGAAAGCTAGCGAGTCTCCGACATAGTGATAACACTCGTTGCCTTCTCTAGTGCAGCTAAACCAGGTCTTGTCCCATTCGTCAATATTTGTGATATCACAAATCCCGGAAAATATGCATTGTAGTCCAAATGAGTCGTTCGTTGTAGTTTTTGAAAAGTGATTTCTGTTAAATAAAATATCTCCTTTTGAAGTGGACTTTGAGTTTTGTAACTTTGCAGATCTTTTTTATGCTCAAACAGGAACATTACAGACTAACTAAAGTTGAAAAAGCATAATAGGACCCCTTTAAGATGACTTCTAAACCTTATTTGAATATTGTTTAATTGCTGTAGGTAAGTCCCGTCATCCAGGCCAATGAAGTGCCTACTGTAGTGGCTGCTGAGGAAGAGTCTAAAGAGGAAGAAGAGGAGATTGGCAACCTGTCATCAGTTCTGGAGAAGTTGGGGTTGTCTGAATATCTGAGCACCTTTGAAACTGAGAAGATTGATGTTGAGTCTCTGGTGAGAGCATTTAAAATTATTACTTTTTTTTTAACAGAATAAACAACTCATCACGGTTATTTCTCCTTCTATGTTGCAGCTGATGTGCACAATAGATGATCTGAAGGAAATGGCTATTCCTCTGGGGCCACGTAAAAAACTTGCCAATTTTGTCAAAGAGAAGTCTGCAAAACAGGCATATTTTCAATTGTCTTTAAATTGCATCTGGTAGTGTTTGCACTTTTTATTTGTCCAGTTTCATGTGACACTTTGAAACACATTTGTTTCTTGGCAGGCGGCCCGAAAGACTGTGAAAGAGAAGACTGTAGAAAAAGAGGAACCAAAAGAGACCCAACCTCCCGTTCAGACAGAGCCCACACCGGATTCTGCCGTCAGCAAACTGCCAGCAGGAAGGACCATGTCCTCAATCCATGTGGATTACAACTATTTTGAAATAGGCACAGGGCAGGTAAAGCTCGAACATACACCATCCCAAATTGCTCTATGGATCAAGATGATTGAATGAAGGTATCTTGTCAGAACCTGATTGTGGGTCTGATATGTGAACATGCTCTGCAATCTTGGATGGTCTTCTCCAGGTGTCGGTGGTATATCATGCTCTGGACTTTGAACCGGTGAATTTCTTTGCTCTCGGTTCTCCAATCGGGATGTTTTTGACAGTGCGTGGGGTGGAGAAAATCGAAGAGTCTTACCAGCTTCCCACCTGCAAAGGGTTCTTCAATATCTACCATCCAGTAAGTGGTGTCTTAGCTTTTCTACTGTTCATCTACAACGGCATCTGATCTTTTGGAAACAAAAATGGTTTAGGACTAAAGTGTCAGTGTAAATGAAGAAAGATGAACACCACAATTTTAAACTTAAACATTCTCACTGTTAGCTATGTATCTAATGCATTCATGTTATTGTGCACTCAGCTGGATCCAGTTGCATACAGAATTGAACCCATGATCTTACCTGACATTGAGCTGGAGCCGGTTTTGATCCCTCATCATAAAGGGAGAAAGAGGCTTCATCTTGGTATGTAATAGACCATTTCTGTGCATTTCATGCATTTTTAAAATGATTCTAGAAATATTTTATTTTAAATAATGTAATTAATAATAGCAATTTAAATCATATATATTATTCTAAATTATTTAAATAATAATACATATTTAAATGAAAAATAATAAATCATTTAAGAAATTATATTTTTAAAAATGAAATGGTAAATTATCCAGGCACAGTTGTCCAGGAAAAAAAATATTTCTTGTGTTGATAAAGCAAAACACAGTCAACAATAATTTTAAATAAGGATATTAAGCAATGTCATAATTATAATGAAATACATACATTTTCTTGTTTTTTTTTTGTGGGGAGTGTGATTATTTATTTATTTATTTTGTGTGTGTGTCTTGTGTCCAGAATTAAAAGAGAGTTTATCCAGGATGGGCTCGGACCTAAAGCAAGGCTTCATCAGCTCTCTGAAGAGTGCTTGGCAGACTCTGAATGAGTTTGCCCGCGCTCACACCTCGTCCGTTCAACTGCATGAACAGCTCGCCATGGTCGCCAGTCAAATCAAAGCAGAAGAGGAAAAGCAGGAAGGGGAAGGTAAGTTAACCACAGTGAATATCCTCTTACCTTTATCCGTTTCATCATTTCAATGTGCACACTTCAGCTCAAGCTCAATCAAAATCTGAATCTCACTGTTTGTTTGCAGATGAGGATAAGATGGTTGAGAGTCCTGAACCTCAGAAGGAAGAGGAGACACAAGTAAAAGTGGGCATGCTGAATGGAGGAAAACGCATTGACTACGTCCTGCAAGAGAAACCCATCGAGAGCTTCAATGAATACCTGTTTGCACTCCAAAGTCATCTGTGTTACTGGTATGTGATGTTCCTTAACAATATCATTATGTAATTGCATTGTCATGTTGTGTTTTACAAACAGAATCTTTTGTCTCTTTCCTCAGGGAATCTGAAGATACAGCTCTGCTTCTCCTCAAGGAAATTTACAAGACCATGAACATACACCCAGAGCATTGATGTGATGCTCATTAAAACTCTTCGGCCATCAGAAATCACATTACTTTGAAGATAAAAGAATATTTTAAACAGTTTTCAACTCGGACTGTCTTTATTTTATTTTATATTGTTGTAGACTATATTAAAATGAATACACTTGTATTATTCCATGTGTCTTAAATTAAGAAATTAAAGTCAAATAGTGGATTTCAATACCACAATGGTTTAAAATGGCATTTTTATAGCTTATAGAGCTGGGAATGTTTGAGTGCAATTATAAATGGTATTAACAAACCCTTTATTATCTAGTTAGTAAAGAGATAACTATGCTGTTTGAAAACTACAACCAACAAGTTATAATAAACTGAACTATTAGTAGCTATTGTGTTGCTCTGGCTTTTTAGATCATCACTGTTATCTTCAGTAAATATTGGGATATAAAAAAAAAAAAAATATTTACTGGCACAGAATTTGCTTCCAAAACAAAAATTTATGACACACATATTGGGGATCAAATAGCAGGTCTACATTTCAAGGTTCACACTGCTGCACCACATCACGGTTTATTTCAGGGACAAAAATCATTAACCATGGTTAGTTGTATTCCTTTTATTTATTTTAGAAAATAAGTAATGGAACTCAACATCCTGACCAATTTAAGGTTCTACAACAGATAGCAACGGTTATTTTTAATCTACCTGCCGCTTAAAGTTGAATGAATACATAATGTCCTCGTCACAAGTGGTTTGTTCAATCAGAGAAATGTCCTTTAGGGATGTTCAAAGTTTTTTTTTTTTTTTTGCAGTAACTCACTATATACACCACAGATTCATTTCAAAGTGGTTGCAGAGGCCAATGTCTTGAAATATTAGAGCATTTTATCATAAACCCGACTGTTAGTGCTACGGCACTGACCAGTGTTCTCACACATGGTGCAAAGTATAAGTTTGATACACGCATCAAAATGCATATCAGGTCCATGCCATCTCAAACACATGGAAGACTTTTCTCAAAGTCTGAATACTGTTCCAACACAGACATTGCCAACAGAACAAATCCAGCACGGCAAGTTTAACTACATCCATCTGTAGATGATTGCCCCTTTTAGCAACGGATCTCCCTTTTTGTCACAGCGCATACATTTTCAATAGAAATAATATAAAAATGTAACGTATGGCTCCGTCAATTATTTACAAAATCCAAAAACAAAGACATGCTGCATCTGTTGCATTCAATTCATTAAGACAACTTACATACATTTATGAATAGTTTGTACAAACTCTTTCATGAATGAGGCCCTAACAATTTCTCTGCATTTCAGCTCATCTTCATTAACTCATTTCCCTAATGGGACTCGTCATTATTCACATGTAGTAAAAAAGTCCTAGCGTAGAACACCCAAAATTTAAACTTGCATTAAAGCAGACTATTCCAGAACGTAAATTAAATTCTCAATGATGTAAACAGTTTAGGTAGTGCCTATCAGTACCATCCTTCCACCACACTTAAGTCTTTTTTTGCTGTCATAAGGTCTTCAGTAATCCATAGATTATTATTTAGAGTGGACTTAGTTCAAATAATACCAAAAATGTTTGTTTGACCCATTTCTTCATTGCTATGTCAACAAAGTTGTGCTCTGTATTGTTGATTCTGTAGTCAATTCATTCTACTGGTCTGCTCTGGGTTTTGTAGGCCTGCTTTTGAAGGTGAGTCTCGATCTCCTCCCTGAACACCAGCATGCCCAGGTGAGAGTGTGATGCCTCATTCATGGCCTTGGACTGGATGCACATGCGGTACTGTTCTGGGGTCAGTTCATCTGCGCAGAGCTTCTCATGCCACAGGTGGAAGAGGCCTGATACAGGCGTGCGGATCACAATCTGATCACTCCGTAGATACTTCCTGTACAAGTGCACATCTTCTACACCCCAGCCTTTCACTTCCAGATCAAATCCTCCTAGAAAAGAGGAACTGAGTTTATTTACATGAAACAGCAAGCAAAAGATCTTTTATTGTAATTTGATGTATCTGATGCATTGATTTTAAATTACGCCGGAATAGATGCATGTATCGATTCATTATTCCATTTTACAAATTAAAGTTACGGACATATTTGAAACGGAAATTTATTTTGTTATAAATCAAACTTTTTCCACATTAAAATACACACCGACTTACCAATGCTGAGGAAGTCAGAGCGATACTGACAAGTCATGCCAAATCCAAAATCCCTCCAGAATCCGGCATCTTTTTTATGAATCTGTAAACAGAATACAATTGCATTATTCACCTTTGTATCAGTAGAAAGCCATACATTCTACAAAGATGTAGGTTCATAGAAAAATCTTGATGTACATACCAGCAGATTCTCAATGGGGGGCGGAAACTCAAGATTTCCGTAAACTATAGATGGATTGTACAAACTGAAAACCACCGGGTAGAAAACTCGTTTTCCTTCCAGGGAGAAAAAAAAATTCACTTTTATTATGAAATTACATGGAAATTTGTATTTTTATTATAAACACTTTAGTGTATAAAAAAATTGAGGCATGACAATTGTCCATGACAACAATTCCTATTACTAATATTATTACTGCTTAGTTGGAAAACAAAATAAAAGAGTGCACACAAACAAACATACAAACTTAATCCTATAGTGCAATTAAACAACAGTGCAAAATGGAAGAAATACGGATGTTTTATCTAGTAATGGGTCCATGAATTTTCAGATATAAATGCTTGTTGACATGACAGACCTGGAGCTGTATTGAGACGACAGGTGCTAAGAAATTCCAGTGTGAAGTAGATGTCAACATCACAGAAGAACATCAACACATCATCCCCCTTCTCCCACGTGTGAGCTCCAATGTCCAGACCACGGCCACGCGAAAACTCCTCATCCACAGGGATCAGAGTGTAGTTACTGAAGTTTTCCTCACTGGAGATCATGAATAAAAACAGTGTAGGAAACATAATGAGCTTTAGAAGATTTGTGCCAACCAAAGTGGGTAATACAGTTTTTACAATCTTTAATTAACAACCTACAATAACATTTATAAGCTGGGAGTCAGTAATTTTTTTTAAATTATTTGAAAAACAAAAAACAAAAGTCTCTCATGCTCAACAAGGCTGCATTTATTAGATTAAAGATAAAATAAAAACAGTAATATTGTGAAATATTATTACAATTTAAAGTAACTGTTTTCTATTTTAATATTTAAAAAAAAAAAAGCAAGTTATTCCAGTGTGGCAAAGCTACATTTTCAGCATCATTACTACAGTCTTCAGTGTCACATGATCCTTCAGAAATAATTTCAATATGCCGATTTGCTGCTCAAGAAAAAAAAAAAGCAATGTTGAAAATGGTTGTGCTGCTTAATACTTTGGTGGAAAACCCGATCCTTTATTCAGGATTTTTTATGTACAGAAAAGTTCAAAAGAACAGCATTTATTTGAAATAGAAATATGTCTTTACAGTCACTGATAGATTTAATGCATCCTTTTTTTTTTTGTTAACAACTGTTTATTGAATTTTCTTCTGGGAATAGTAATATAAAACAAAAAGCAACTGTGCAAATTTAAAACCCACCCCAACCCTGGCAGACTTAAAAATATATATAAATAAATAAAATAAAAAATATGTATATTAAAAAAATAAATAGTAATAATAAAAATAAATGAATTAATAATAATAGATAAATAAATAGCAATAAAATAATATTTTACAAAGATTTTAGAATAGCTGACACAACATTAAAAGCTGAATGCAATTTAATGCATCCTTGATGAAAAAAAAGTATTACATTTCTTTAAAAAAAGTAAATAAATACATAATACAAATCTTACTGACCCCAAACTTTTGAATGGTAGTGTACCTAAACAGATTATGTACCTTACTCAATAACTTTGAAAAAGCAAGTATATTTTCTGCTAGTCAAGAAAATTACCATTCTAATAGGGATGTAACGATTCACTCAACTCACGATTCGATTCGATTCACGATTTTTTTTGTTACAAAATGAGATTTAAGACAAATTATAAATTAAATGTGTCCTTTTATTATTGCTTGGACAAAATACTGCACATTTCTTTGTGAAATTGAACTATAGCACTATAGTAATATAGCACTTGTAAATTATTGCTCCTTTGTTGGTTTTGATTGCTTCTATTGTCCTCATTTGTAAGTCGCTTTGGATAAAAGCGTTTGCTAAATACCAAAATTGAAATATAATGTAAATGTAAATAACAAAACTAAATTGACATTTTAAAACAAGCCCCAAATCAAATAAATAAGTAACACAAATAAAAGAAATCTCTTCATATAAACAAAATAAGTCTTTGTCTGTGCTCTTTCCATTTAAAATTAGAGGCAACCAAATTACATTACATTACATTACAAATTACATTGTATAATTTCGAAATTTTAAGCAAAAACAGAATGGTTTGACTTCAGTTTTGTGAAACTATGCATAAAAAATATCTGCATGAAACAGCAGACGAGCTGAATGAGATGCAGATTCACTCTCTGCCAACAGGTGGCGCTTAATGCATTTCCTTGGTTTCCGCTATAAACAAAGCAGCGCGGAACTTATGAACTTTAATATGCATTATACAGAGGCAAGAGGAAAAGAAAAAATACCATCTAAACTTTTCTAAAGACAGTAAGTTCCCCTCAGACATACATTCATATAAACTCCTACCCCTAATTGAATCGCGATTTGTTTAGCATCTCAACCGATTTGAATCGTCACATATTTAAATCGATTTTCGACCGGCTCGCGGTTAATCGTTACATCCCTACATTCTAATAAAGAACATTTCAACTGCCCCACAAACAGCAAATTCCTTTTCCTTGAGTTTTCTCCATTCAGGATGTTGGCAATCATAGAATGTTTCAGTCACGCTATACACATAAAATATAAATATTTGCAAAGCTCAAACCTGGACATTTTCCTCAGAGATGCCTTCACCTCCTGCAAGCCCGTCTGCCCAAAATACACCACTGTGAGATGCACCCGCTTGTCCTGCTGTATACAAACCTCCCTGCACACAGAAAACATTGCCTGATCACAACATTTCCAAAACTTCCAAAGGGAAAACCGCACTGGGAAACGTTCCCTTGTAAAACTGTGTAACATCTGGCTCTGTGTTGCCGCTACCCACACAACTTTAGAAGTTCAACCATATTATCTGCAGCACACAAAAATACACATTCCCATAATCTCTCTTACATGCTCGGTCACATTTTTTGTTTTAAATGTCAATAGGAATCTGCACAATTAGTTATGTATGTGTAAAAACGAAAAATGTCCCCACAGATTTTGCAATTTGCCACTACTTGGTTTGAAAGTAAGTTCTGTGTAATCTGTGCTTCATACATCACTACACTTTTGACAATGGATCTTTTTGCTGTGAAATTTCATCCAAATTCCATTTTTTTAGGCCAAAAACCTAGAAACGTGTTCAGAACTTAAAGTTCCAGTTTCCTGAAGTCAATGGGTTTTTCTGAAATGGTTTTTGGTTAAATGCCTCACATATGTTCTGTGGTTAACACAAGCTCAAGATATCTTCACATTTTATTCTGACATAAAATAAATCAGTTAGAAAGAATCCTTTGTGGCTTTTAAAGCTTTTAATTGTCTTGAAAAAGGCGGTTGTCAACGAGTGGCTAAATGCGACTACAGAGGTTGTTGGGGACATTAAACGTCATCACGCTGAACAGGTAAACTCATCTACGCACTAGTTGCTTTTACAGCCTCATTATCGAATTCTTGCAAACTTTTCTAACTCAAACTTTCAGGGAAAATGTTTTTAAATAAAGACTGAAAGAGTTGTCAGAATCTTAATGCTGGAGAGACTTATCGCGCAATATATGTACATGACCTCAATAATTTTTGGTGACGCAATATATCGCCCATTATATTTACTTAAAAAAATAATTTCACCATGTTTTGTACATTCCACTTGCACCTGTGTCTTTTGCAACTTGTCGTACATAACGTGTAGTCATGAGGTGCTAGTTCAAATTTAAAAAATGCTTCTACAAGAAAAGTTTCATCTGCAGATATGGTCTTGTTTAGGGATCTGTGTCTTTGTGCATACGGACATCTGACTGCTAAGTAGGGATTGTGTTTTTCAGCAATAGTGTGCACCCTTAATTTACAGAGAAAAGAAGGTCAGGGAAAAATCTCCATACAAGTTCTTTGTGCATTTGTCTTTTTTTCTACTTGTTACTTTGCACTTTTTGTTAGAAAATGTTTATTTACTATTTATTCAGGTTTTTAAGGTATCTAATATTTTGATACTTAATCTAAATATTCTTAAGAATTAAAAGTTTGTTGTCATTTGGAAGTGTGTAGGCCATCCTGCATAATTATGCTGTTACATTATGATTATATATTCAGTGGCATAAAATGGTCTTTAAAATGACAATAATATCGCTTATCGCAATTATTTCTGGGGCAATATATTGCACAACAAAAAGCTGTTATCGTGAGAGGCCTAGTGTTTATAGCCTAAATTTAGCTTTCTACTTCTGCCGAATGTATTTAAGCTTCAAAATTCAGTTGTTTTCATTTGTGAAGACTATTATGATGAAAAAAGTGTGTAAGAATCATAAACCTCTGCCTGTCGTACAGCTTGTTTTCAATGCAAAAACTAATGGAAAAACACATTAGTTTTTTTGTTGATGATGCTTACTTACAGTTTAGCTTACAAAACAAAATGCAATTACTACAAAAAATGTCCACAAATTCTACAGTACTCCTCACCTGAAGTTGTGCAAGAACTGAACAAAGGCTTCAGTGCGGCCTGACAGCGGCACTATGATGTTAATGACGGTGCTGGCGGTGTCTACAGACGTGCTCCTCACTTTCATGAGGGGCCCGAACGGACGAAAGAGGGTGACGTGACGGTACTCGTGGGAATTCTCTTTAGCGAAGTAGAGCTCATACAGCGTGCCTTTGTCCCGCTCGGTCCTGTAGAGTCCTGCCAAGGATAGCAAGCACACAAGAGCAGCTCGAGTTACTGAATATTTTGTGCTGTGCAAAGTTCACACATTTATTATTCTCAAATACAACAAGCGCTGTTAAGTACACACAAATCCCTAACCGCATGGTGTGTTCAGCATATAAAGTAGTGCATACTTCCTCTGAACAGCTTTTACCTTCAAAAAAATGGCTTTCAGTGAACGTCTGCCTCTGCATGGGGATGTTGTCCTCCTGTCCGTCACCTTCCTCTGGGTTATTAATAATATCCAAACCTGCTTCTATCACCTCCACCAGCTCATCCCTCCTGTCCTTCCGCACAGGCTTCTCCTCAGGATGGCGCGTCAGGCCCATTTCCAGCTGGTACACTTTTGTGGTGGTGAAGCTCTCGAAGGGCACCAGTGCATACTCGCTCGGCAGCCTCGCTCCCGTGTTCACCTCTGCCTTGTCGATTTGTGAGTGCAAGTACTCCAAGAGGTCACCAGGCTCTTGATCTCTGCCATCAATCAGGCTCTGCGGTCCGGGACCCTCCCTTTTTTCTTGAAATACCCTCAGTTTCTCGCTCATCTCTTGGAGTTCTTGTTTGAGCTGCGCGATCTGTCTCTTGAGGCTGGCCGCTCGGCTGATATGCCGCTCTTCCTGCTCCTGCAGGAGGGCCTGGTAATACTCCTTTCCATACGGATCTCCTCCCAGGCCAGGCAGCACCTGGCTTACATCCGCAGGCGGCGTGCACTCCAGCAGGTAAGCAAACAGCAGCAGTACCAAAAGCAAAAATATCCCCAGGACAAGCCAGCGCGCCCGCCCCTGCAGAGGAAGCCCCCGCCTGGACATATCTGAGAGGCAGGGTGCTCTTTACCAGCCACCGTTTTGCATTCCCACCCTGACAAGATGTAACCTTTAGGAAGGATTAAGTCTTTTACATTAATCCATTCCCAAGTGAAGCGGAGGGAGCGCGGTTGTGTCACATTTCTCTTGTAATCATGCTCCTCTCACTCTACAGCACACGGAACATGCTCAGATTCCTCAGAGATGTGTGAATATACCGTCGACGACCTGTCATCCTGCTTGCACAATATTCCTCTTCTAAGAGAAATAACTCATCTAAAAAGAGATTACAATAATTAATCATATATTTTCCTCATCAGTATATTTAGACTAAACAAATACATACAAATAAAAATGTATAAAATAATTTATCACCCAGTAGTGCCTTGCTGTTTAACTTCAGAACAGTCAGTAAAACAAATTGTGATATATCCATACTAATAATGTACAATCTGTTATGTGTTATCTATGAAACTATATATATATATATATATATATATATATTTAAACACAAGCATAAATATAATGAATTAACATTGTAAAAAAGTCTACGTAGTAAAAGACTGCAATTCTTCGGATCGAAACTTAGAATGGATAATCTAAAAATAAGACGTTAATTATAACTTAAATGTTTTAATAATAAGTTAATAATCAATATTTCATATACATCATGTATTCATTAATTTGGCAAGTAGCCGTGTTTTAAGCGGGGTCGGACTCCTGATCAGATCACGCTGTTTATTTTGCCGACTGACTGTACATTAACAGTTACCCCATACACTGTATGAATTTTATGTATGTTACATGAACATGTAAGTTACGTGTATAACTTACCGCAATTCTTCCTGATGCTATATACATGCTTGCGCCTTATTATAAACTAAGCACCTAAGACTCTAAATAATACTAATTAAGTTTGTTTCTAAATCAGCAAAGAAATACACCTTTAAGCGCACAAGGAAACATCTGGCTGACTGATCTATGGCAAAATGTTGCTGTTCACACAAGAAAAATCTAACGGTAACGTTACCAATATAATTTGTGGCAGAAAACGTCGAGGTTGAAGTTGTTTTAAAAAATAAACACGGAAATGTGCGACACTTACCTCGGTTGTTGTGACTGTATGAGGCTTTCGGCAACCGCTTCTTTATGCAACTGTTCAATAGAATACCGAGCATAATACATGTGTGAACAGAACGCCACGGGGCAATGAAAAAAGGAAGCACAATAAAAAACGCACGTTACTTCCGCCATGAGCCGCATAATTTCAAAATAAAAGCCTGTCTAGATGTTTTACAAATCGTTAAACCCTATGGTTAACAAAATTCACTATAATTATGCATATAATTATAATTATTTTTGAAAATCTACTTTGAAATGTAACTCACTTCCTTTCTTTGAAATGGTATGTCATGTGTTTATAGGTTTGTATTTTTTCTCTATTCGTGCTGCTGCTCCACTTACGACAGGAAAAACTTTTAATGCGAGTCCCATGTTGGTATTATCTGATTTAAATAAATCTTCCTATTCACAGCGCAAAACGACAAACTGAATGAAACCTCAAATTGATGGTTTCATACCCATTTACATATTTACACAGGGTATGTTGGACTTGATTTTCAGATCATTCATTCATTTTTGTGGTCGCAGTACTAATGTGTCATGAAATCCATGCCTGAAACCTTAGGATGTCAGGATGAGCAAATGTTACCACATTTGAATCTATTTGTGTAAATAATTAGAACTATTCTTTGTTGCTCTTTAATGAAGTCTGAGAATGAAATAGCATAAAACACATTCAATTAAACCTTGACATCTTCTAACAGTTTTATTGATTGAAACGTAATGTTTTGACAACATAATGAGGAATCACACTCAGGTTTATGTATTGTAGTTATTGTTGCACAATGAAAATTAAATCACCATATGACATTAAATTAAACATATCAATACTCTGTTATGGCAATATTCATAACTCGTAGTTACCACAGAGCAAAATATCAACATTTAAAAAAACTAAAAGTAATTGATTCTGTCATATCCTGACACATAATCAAGAAGAAAAACTCTTTTTCCAAATAAACATGTCCAATCTTTGCAGCAAACATCTGCAGTAAGTGATGGTAAAGAAGCTCCCTTTAATTCCTGGAGTGGGACCAAGATTGTCTCGGTCATGCATTTATAACTGGTGTTTTCTAACAGAAGCGGCACAGGCACTTAAACATGGACATTAAACTGTACAGAGTCATGCAGTGATACAACACGGCTGACAGGGCCTTGTGGTAACAATCACCTAAGAGCTGCTTGAAGCATGTTTTATGCAATTCCAGCCAATTTGAAATCTATTACCATCCTCCCATCTTCTACACAACAGCAGAAATAAAAGGGAACCGACTTTATCATCAAACAACATATATACAGTATCATATAAATATACACATCTCCCCACCCCCCACATCTTTTCCACCACTGATTTTGGTTTGCTTTTTTAACTATCGAGCGTGTCCACGATTTTTGCGGGAGAATGCAAAGCCATCCAGTTTGCATAAACACTATCATTGGCATATCTTGTAAAGACAGGGTTAGTGGCATCGAGTCTGTTGAGCGGTACCGGGCTCTTCTCTGGCCAGTTCGGGTATGACATGCCTAAAAATGAGAACATATCATTTTTCTGCACTGAGGAAGCATTAAGTCCAGACAGTAAGGCTCTCAAACGAAACTCAGCTCAGCTTTTGAGCATTAAACAGCATGAATGACTCATGGTAATTTCATGGTAGAAGCATGAAATCATTCTTTAGTCCTTTGAGTGCTTTTTGGTCATTCATGTCAATATTCCACTGTGATGACATCGTCTATTGTATGACATCATCATGACATCAGTATTGTTACTGCTGTTGTCTTTGCCATTTTATGTACAATCATTTTAAATGAAATAGATAATTAGTGCTCTACTAAAAGGTTTTTTGTGTACTCGCAGAAATAACAGACATCAAGGAGTCTCTGAATAGCAACTGCCTTACTGCTGGCCGTTTTATTGCTTACTATTAATGCCATCATTTTGGGGAGAGCTAACAGAGTCTTGCATATCTTGATATATGATCTAAAAGAAGAGTTTAATTCAAAAGCCTTACTGCTTTCAGAACTGACTCCATCTACTGTAAACACTCATTTTCTGTAATATGTTCAGAATATTACAGAGAGAGCACATCCAGAGCACACGGGACCTTTTTCAAATGTAAAACTTAACCTAAAGTGCTGCAAACCAATAGAAAATTCACATATGATGTAAATCATGAAACACATCTAATAATATTTTCCTAACTGAACATAATACATGTTAGGTTTTTTGTATATAAATGAAAATTATTAACTTTTTTTTATCAGTAGTAATAATACTTGTACAATAAAGCTTTTTAAAATGAATATTTCAAATAGTAGAGTACATCGGAAGCAGGTCCAAATGAAACATCTGATCCCTAGATCCAGACACTACAGCACTAACTGAATCTATAAAACATTAGCAATATTCATAAGTCAGTGGCAACCATGCCGTTAGCACAATCACAGCACTTCCTATGGAAGGCAAAAACAAATTGATTTTGTTCCCAGTATTAGAATCGAGTAAATGCATGGGAAATTCTACCATAGAGCTTGTTTTCAATCCAAGTGGAGGGGAGGGTTCGAGGGAGAGGGGCGTTACTACAGTCCACTAAAGGTGTGTCCTCTTCAGAGAGGGAGTCGTCATACAGCAGGGTGTCTGCTGGCGTGGAGGCTGCGAGATCCAGATAGTCCTGATGAAGGGAAACACAGTTCTGAAAATCAGACTAGTGGTACCATAACTCTTCAGTGTAACATCACATACTTCATGTGAAAAAATGTTTCTTGAGAATGAGATTTTTCTTGATTCACTAGTCAACATCATTAGAAAGCAGGCTGTCAAATTACATTAGTTGCTTAAGGTTAGCATAACAAAATAAATGACGGTACATTTAAGTGTAAATATGGCCAGTCTAACATTTAATTTATTTAAAAATATAACAACGTTTTTTGGAGTCAAGTTGCTGACAGTTCATCTGTGTTCATCCATTGTTTTCACGTTGTTTTAACATCGTCACTTACCTTGGAGAATTTTCATCTTTATGACAACTTAAATGAATAAACAGACTACCATTCAAAACTTTGGGGCCGGTAAGATTTTTTAATAATTTAGAAAAAAAGTCTCTTATGCTCAACCAGGCTGCATTTATTGGATTGAAAATGCAGTAAAAAACAAAACAAAAAAACAATTACTTTAGTCTTCATTGTCACATGAACCTTCAGAAATTGCTGTAATTTAATAATTTAATATGATGATTTGGTCCTCAAGAAACAATTATTATCAATGTTGAAAACAGTCGTGCTGCTTAATATTTATGTGGAAATGTTGATACATTTTTTTTAGGATTCTTTGATGAATATAAAGTTCAAAGAACAGCATTTACTTCACTTTAGATTCATTTAATGTGTCCTTGTGGAATAAAAGTACTCATTTCTTAAAAAAAAAAAATCTTACTGACCCCAAACTGTTTTAATTGGGATGTTTGACTTAAAGTTCATACATGATTTGTGAAGACAGGTTCAGCTCAGGTTGTCATTTCATGAAGTTCAACAGAAGTGTTTTGATTTGTGTCTGTGTGTGACTGTCTGGAGAGAAAGTACTTGTTTTATTCTTACTCGGCTTTTCACCATCATCTTCTCAAGTTCTTTGCTGATGTCTGAGAAAGTAGGACGCTTATCTGGCTCTTGTTTCCAACAACGAAGCATCAGATTGTACCTATATTACATAACAGAGCATTCATCACCTGATACAGAACATCTCTGATTGTCACACCTAAATAACTGATTCCTTTAGGTGAAATGAAGTACATGTTGTGTCCATAATATTGTATGAGACATTCTAAAGTCATATAAAGCAAAATATGCTAACTTGAATGTTAAGTGATATATATCCTATGATGACATGGTGGTTTTAGAAAATGATTGGTTCATTCAGCTCTCAAATCTACAACACATTCAAGTGATGTACACACATTTCATCCGTGCAGTTCTCTGGCTTCTCCATCCTGTAGCCCGTCTTCAGAAGGTTGAAAAGCCGTTCTGGAGCAATGCCTGGGTAGGGGTTTCCACCCAAAGTCACAATCTCCCATAAGAGGACACCAAAAGACCAGCTAATGCAAGAAAACAGAGAGAGAGACATTGTACTGTAAAGTTATAATGGAATAAGTCCTCACTTTAAAAAATATTTGTTATTGACATTTCTTTGTAATTATATGTGAAATTGACAAGCAATTTCTGAGTAAATCATACACCCAATTTCATTGTATGCAGACATGCTAAATATAAATTGGTGATTGTCTGTGTAGAAGCATGTGTTGCATAACTTACACATCACTTTGTGAGGTGTAGATGTGATCAAACAAAGATTCTATAGCCATCCATTTAACAGGAATACGACCCTAAAAATTGAGAGCACATTATTACATATAGTATTAAGTCTAACGAATGTAAAATTGCATTGCATGTTCATTGCAAGTTTTCTCGAGCTCAAATATTCAAACATCTGTAAAACATAGGATGTAACTAGTTTGCCACAGTTAAAAAAAAAAAAAAATATATATATATATAACCTTGCTCCTCTTCACATACGAATCTTCCTCATAAACATCTCGAGATAAACCAAAGTCGGATATTTTCATCTTCCTTCCCTCTGCCACCAGCACATTCCTGGCAGCCAGGTCTCTGTGAACAAGCTAAACATATTTTCTCTCATTATAACATCGTTCTTTAAAAGAGAACATTAAATATTCTGTGATGGATATTCCCTAAACTGCTGACACACCTTCATTTCAGCCAGGTATTGCATTCCTCTGGAGATCTGCCATGCAAAGGAGATGAGGTCGCCCATGGTCAGAGCTCTCTCATCTGGGTTTTCCAAGTAGCTGGAGTTGCGGTTGGCATCATTGCCCATGTAGCTGGGTCCAACTTTCCGGCTCTCTCTCAGGAAGTTCCGCAGTGAGCCGTACTTTGCGTATTCAACGATTAAGTATAATGGACCTGAACAGATGAGCTTGTATGAGCACACACGGCAACAAACAAATGCATGCCAGATTAAACATAGTTGTTTTTGTTTTTTTACTAAAATGTCTTACCATCCTGGCTG